CGGCCTATATGTTACCTGTAACCAACCTATATGTTACCTGTAACCGTCCTATATGTTACCTGTAACCGTCCTATATGTTACCTGGAACTATTCTATGTGTTACCTGTAAACCTCCTATATGTTACCTGTAACTGCCCTATATGTCACCTGGAACTATTCTATGTGTTAACTGTAACCTATATGTTACCTGTTGTTATATGTTACCTGTAACTGTCCTATATGTTACCTGTAACTGTCCTATATGTTACCTGTAACTGTTCCTATATGTTGTCCTATATGTTACCTGTAACCGTCCTATATGGTACCTGTAACTATATGTTACCTGTAACTGTCCTATATGTTACCTGTAACCGTCCTATATGTTACCTGTAACCGTCCTATATGTTACCTGTAACTGTCCTATATGTTACCTGTAACTGTCCTATATGTTACCTGTAACCGTCCTATATGTTACCTGTAACCGTCCTATATGTTACCTGGAACTATTCTATGTGTTACCTGTAAACCTCCTATATGTTGCCTATCACCGTCCTATATCTTACTTGTAATTGCCATATATGTTACCTGTAACCGTCCTACATGTCACCTGTAACTGTCCTAGATGTTACCTGTAACCGTCCTATATGTTACCTGTAATTGTCCAATATGTTACCTGTAACCGTTCTATATGTTACCTGTAACCGTCCTATATGTTACCTTTAACCGTCCACTATATTACCTATAACCGTACCTATATGTTACCTATAACCGTCCTATATGCTACCTGTTCCCGTCCTATATGTTACCTGTAACTGTTCCATGTGTTACCTGTGACTCTTCTCTATGTTATATGTTACCTGTAACTGTTGTATATGTTACCTATAATTGTCAAATATGTTACCTGTAACCGTCCTATATGTTACCATTAACCGTTCACTATATTACCTGTAACCGTCCTATATGTTACCTGTTACCGTCCTATATGTTACCTGTAATTGTCCTATATGTTACCTATAACCGTTCTATATCTTACCTTTAATTGTCATATATGTTACCTGTAACTGTCCTATATGTTACCTGTAACCGTCCTATATGTTACCTATAACCGTCCTATATGTTACCTGTAATTATCCTAGATGTTACCTGTAATCGTCCCATATGTTACCTGTAACCGTCCTATATGTTACCTGTAACTGTCTTATATGTTACCTGGAACTATTCTATTTGTTAACTGTAAACCTCCTATATGTTACCTGTAACCGTCCTATATGTTACCTGTAACCAACCTATATATTACCTGTAACTGTTGTATATGTTACCTTGTCCTATATGTTACCTGTCCTATATGTTATCTGTAACTGTTGTATATGTTACCTGTAATTGTCCAATATGTTACCCGTAACCGTCCTATATGTTACCTGTAACTGTTGTATATGTTACCTGTAATTGTCCAATATGTTACCCGCAACCGTTCTATATGTTACCTGTAACCGTCCTATATGTTATCTGTAACTGTTGTATATGTTACCTGTAACTGTCCTATATGTTAACCTGTAACTGTCCTATATGTTACATATAACCATCTTTAATGTTACCTGTAACCGTTCTATATGTTACCCGTAACCAACCTATATGTTATCTGTAACTGTTGTATATGTTATCTGTAACTGTTGTATATGTTACCTGTAATTGTCCAATATGTTACCCGTAACCGTTCTTTATCTTACCTGTAATTGTCGTATATGTTACCTGTAACTGTCCTATATGTTACCTGTAACCGTCCTATATGTTACCTGTAACCGTCCTATATGTTACCTGGAACTATTCTATGTGTTACCTGTAACTGTCCTATATGTTTAACCGTCCTATATGTTACCCTCCTATATGTTACCTGTAACTGCCCTATATGTCACCTGGAACTATTCTATGTGTTAACTGTAAACCTCCTATATGTTACCTGTAACCGTCCTATATGGTACCTGTAACTATCTTATATGTTACCTGTAACCGTCCTATATGTTACCTGTAACCAACCTATATGTTACCTGTAACTGTTGTATATGTTACCTGTAACTGTTCTATATGTTACCTGTAACTGTCCTATATGTTACCTTTAACCGTCCACTATATTACCTATAACCGTACCTATATGTTACCTGTAACCGTCCTATATGCTACCTGTTCTCGTCCTATATGTTACCTGTAACTGTCCTATATTTTACCTGTAACCTTCCTATATGTTACCTGTAACCGTCCTATATGTTACCTGTAAATGTCCAATGTGTTACAGATAACCGTCCTATATGTTACCTGTAATAACCGTCCTATATGTTACCTGTAACTGTTGTATTTTTTACCTATTTTTGTCCAATATGTTACCTGTAACCGTTCTATATGTTACCCGTAACCTATATGTTACCTGTAATTGTCCTATATGTTACCTGTCTATATGTTACCTGTATATGTTACCTGTAACTGTCCTATATGTTACCTGTAACCTGTCCTATATGTTACCTGTAACTATATGTCCTATATGTTACCTGTAACTGTCCTATATGTTACCTGTAACTGTCCAATATGTCTCATATAACCGTCCTGTATGTAATCTGTAACCGTGCTATATGTTAACCTGTAATTGTCCTATATGTTACCTATAACCGTTCTATATCTTACCTTTAATTGTCATATATGTTACCTGTAACTGTCCTATATGTTACCTGTAACCGTCCTATATGTTACCTGTAATTGTCCTAGATGTTACCTGTAACCGTCCTATATGCCACCTGTAACTGTCCTATATGTTACTTGTAACCGTCCTATATGTTACCTGTAATTGTCTCATATGTTACCTGTAACCGTCCTCTATGTTACCTGTAATTGATCTGTATTACCTGTAATTGTCCTATATGTTAGATAAATTGAGTCGACATATCGAAGAATTTTCGTCGATAACATACACGTATATATGTACATGTTTGTAAATCCATTGTTTGCACGGCGTTCATGACATATATATTTGGCAGTACAGCTTACTGCAACATGGCTTGCATTTAACAGATCAAACTGCACTTAGCTAAAAAAGTTTAGTTTAGAATTATAAAATTTACAAAATGATGTATGAAATATGATAAACGTTTGATCGTTTTTATTTTAGATGAACCTAATTGTTAGTGTTAATAACAAAAAAAACCCAAATAAGGATGATCTCTAAAACCTTATTAAAGATAAACGCAACACTCGAAAATTCTGGAAACATTTTATTGTCCAATGATTCGAAAATATTCTTTTCAAAACAATTGTAATACAATACCTTAAATTGATAGCAATTTTAGTGTTCGAAATTAAAGTGTAGGTCTAAAATGGTTTAATAGAGTAACACATAGAGCAGATATGGATTCATTCCAAGGTTTTTACTGTGAGAGATTATATTCCACCCAATCAACTTTGATATTCTGTACTTGATGTATTATCTTTGCTAATCAATTTCTTGCTTTGTAGGTGCGAGTCTGGGTAAACACAATATTGTTTGTTATTTAGTGAAAAGGGAATCGATTGCAATTCGCACGGGAAATTAAAATAACAAGAAAATCGAATTGCCTTGATATGGTGTTTTCTTTGATTTCATGAACATTTGCAGACATGTTTCATAGATGTCATAGTGGCGATACTTTCCAATTAAATATTAACATGTGATGAACCTTATCAGAACTTATGACAACGGCTTCGTGATAACGAATATATCATGCTGTACGTTGAATGATTAAGTATAAGTTTTACTTCAGACGAGGAAATGGTGAACATAACTAGCATGTGTTTGGTTTTGATGATGAGAATGTTATGAAACCATAGCACGGATATGCGACTTTTCTCATCTGGTTTGCTTTCCTTTCGCTCCAATTATTCTGACGCCCTATCGACATTTCATATTGGTCTGGAGTCGATGAACGTATCCAGAACGATATGAAAGGTCGATAGAATGGCATAATGATTCGAACGCGTCTGTTATTATCTCCCCGTTTTACATTCACCATATGTTATCAATACATTATTTATATCTTATTGTTGTGAACTTACTCAAACATGTACCTGTAGAATGTCCAAGGGAAAATTTTAAAGATAGTATCAGAAATAAAATGAGGATCTTGTCGTAATCAGAATAGTTACTCATCTCAGGTTTTGAGTGGATTTCCTCTGACTTTGGCACTTTACCCTTTTTACTTTCCGCCAAAATGTGTTCATGAATTCAGCAGTAAAATGATACATGTTATAAATGAAAAAAAATCTGTTTAACGTTCACATTTTTCTACTGATTGTCGACACATACTGCCTTCTCACAAATACATCATGTCACAAAGCACTTCATATGTCGCTGTGAGATGATTGTAATTGCTCAATTAATTGTCGACACCTCCCTTAGAGAAAAGGAGAGAAATCCTTTGTCCTATTTATAATAAATAATAAATCAACATGACAACAGATACGATGTGCCTTGATTTTGAATATTACATTAATTAAGAATCAAAGTTATGGTCTAGAAGTCCTGTTCATGGTGGTGACTAATTTGCTGTTTGTAGAACAAAAAACCATAGAGAACATTTGTTTCCTTCATTATTTAAAAGTTAGATACAACTGTAACCATTCCGATGTTGACACATCATCGAGCCTATTCAGACACAGGAGGATGATTTTAAGACACGATGCTAAATGGAAAGCAGCAACTGACTTATCAAAGTAACACTAAAAAATAAATCGAGGAAAGATAATTTCTTATTGTTCCGCCAAATTTGTCTGGTCAAGGTAGTTCAAAGCAGTATTTTTATCCACAAAAGCACTCCAAAGACACTGTAGGAAACCGCATTACTTTGGAAAATATATGTAAAATAATATCAATCCATATAGAAAAATATTGAGATTAATTTAATTGTCCCTATTTACTGTACATGTCAATAACGTTGACCGCACTGTCGGAATTCTGTTCTTCAGATCATTGGCGATTCTGCATCAAACAGGGCAGCTCGGTTTCATCTCCGTTGTTTTAGAAGTTTTACTAACGATCTCCTCTTTCTTTTTCCTGCAAAAAGGAAAATGGCATGTATTCTAAAACCGAATATTGATTACATGGACCATACTGTAGAAGCATATATTTTCGTGGTTGGTTTGATTTTCGTGTTTTTTTTCCAAAAGATCAAAATTTCATGAACATTTTATTTTATGGATAGGTATAGCCCAATAACTGTTTTAAAATTTATCATAGCAGTTCGCAACAATAGGAATTATTTGATTACCCAAGAAATCAACGATAAAATATCTACATGGAAAATTTCAATTTCGGTATTCATATCTTCTAATCATATCGTCTGTCCGATAACATGGCACGAAGGAATAACAGACTATGACACGGAAGGCTTATGAATGGAATGGCGACCAACACAGTGTTTTACAGGTCGCTTACAAATGACCTTTGTTAAGATCTAAAAAGCATTTTAAAACTGAAACTATAACCCGATCTTGATGATGAAATATAAACCTTGTATGAACTCCCAAAAAACACAGCTGACAATACAAAATATCGGTTTAAGCGTCTCTACATTAACATCTAATACAACCAATAAGTTTTCACTGATAATGTAACATGTAACACCACAAGCTTGCTCGAAAATGTCGAAGAATGTATCACATGATGGTGAAGCATACTTTATCAAGGTTAAATAGCAAGGAGAGTTGTTGTATTCAACATGGTAAAAGCAAACAGTAGTTTAATGTACAGTGATATGTACTTTTAAATAGGTATCAGGTGCTTAAATATTACTAAAGCCATCCTGTGTTTACCCCTGCTGACGTCATCAGATGTTGTATGTTTAAAACAAACGTGTCTTGTACCTCGCAAATCAAGTAAAACAGACAATGATATACAATCAAACTGTCGGAATTGTCCTTAGTCTGAAGTTATCAGATCAAATGTACAATTAAGAATGAAAGTTAACGTAAAAAACTTCAGTATTAGACATGTAAATAGCACGTTCCCCATGGTTTAACATATAGCGTATTTATCATTGTACCAGAGATCATGTTACATAACATGTTTTCCAACGGAGTAAGGACCATTGTTAAGTGACAGAGGTGTGACCTGATTGATCTACCACCTCTGCCTTCTTAAATGATACCCTTATTTTATCTTGTCCTGTATCAGTGAATTACAAGTTGATACTTGGCGAAAATTTACAGATTATATTGCGAGGAGTGTCTGATGCATTGCAGGAACCACTATACTCAAACCTTTCATATACTAGTTTTTCCAAGGAACAGGTAAATGTTCATTAAACTAAGGGTTTAACATCATAGAGAAACGCGTAAAACAGGTATCGAGATAACGAGGTAAGCAGGTTACTGAAGACACCATTCTCATCACTTATTTGGACATATATTTACGTAGCGGATGTTGATGACGATTACCCTTCCGGGTTACATTGTTTTTGTCTTTTAGTTTCTCTTTAATGTTTTAAAAGGTCTCCTGTAAATATTTCCTTTCCTCATATGTTAACTTCGTTTTACCGAGTTTGAATTGACATCGCTGCGTGATCAATTGCATGGTTCTGTTGTAGTTTCTCTTTTAACGTGCAATATTCAGACAATGACGGATTTATACATAGACGTGCGGCCCTCTTGTCAATTTTACTGATAACATAGAGACAAGCAGTCAGACAGCGCTTCGCAGGAATGATTAACGACAGATATGATGAAAATTGGAATGATACTTAGAGTGTTTTCTTGTGTTTTCCATTACGATATACCGGGGATTATTAGACATGTCTGTTGGCTATTGATAATATGCATGTTTCATGTGATTTGTGACCTTGGAGTTTTGACAAGTAACGCTTAAAGGTCATTGGTTTGATTATTTATTATTTTTATTAAAATGGATTATTTAGATAAACAGTTTCTTATCAAATTGAAATTCAATAAAAAGTCAAATAACCTAGGAAAAACGATGTTATGATTAGAAGGAAGGTAAATCGACTCCTGTTTAATACAGCTTGGAGTCTACAAGGCGGCATTCTAGTAGATTTGAATATCCCTTATTTAAAGAATAAGTGGTCTTTATAAAGACAAATACTTGAGGTGTATCAGTTGGTGGAAATAATAATCGTCTATATTTCAAAACTGAAGGCAAATGATGATGTCTATTTTCGTTTTAAATTAAAAAAAAAAAAAACACGTGACAGTGTTTCAATTAGATTTGTTGAAAACGTTACTTCATTTCCAAAATTTCAAATTCTATCACTTTGGAATGATATTCGCTATGACACGCACAGTTTTCACAACTTTCAATTTGACAACACAATTTTGAAGTTAAAGCAATCAAACTATTATGTCATAGTCTTTGTCCATCATTTATAACCATTTCAAAAATAGACATTGTAACCCAATTTTCAAATGATCAATAATCTAGTACTGGTCTTATCACAGATATAAAAACAAAAAGTGTAGAAATTGATAAAGATGTCCTTTTGGCATTTATTCATTTTTGAATAAAACACGAGAAGACACAATGAGGAATGTCACCAGATTTTACTATTATATGTCATTGCTTTTTGTAGTTGCTCAACAAGTCAAATATAGTCATTAAGTCAACCCCTTTAAACAACTTTTGAGAACACATCTTGATATTGAAGTACTATTAAAGTAATGAAACACTGGCTTCTAAGGGGTCAACATCTTGTTGTGCTGAACGTTTTGATATGACGGCTTGATTTGGATTGTGCTCTGTGAAAATAAATGTTTCACTCTAAGATACGAAATACAGTGTTATATATAGACCTCTTATACGCATGCCTAGAAGCGATTATTCTGTATTAATACACATTGGGACTTTCAGGAAAATCGTGACAAATTACCATGTCGATTTTGTTGCTGCAATAACAGTATATGATATGTGAAAATGCCGCTGGTTTTCTTGCTTGGGGTAATTCAGCAATTATCAGTTCAAACTTGAAACATTGTCTTCACAGGATTCCGTAACTATAAATTGCCTAAACATGATGAATTAACAAATAATTACTATGATAATATTTGTGTTTTTATGTATAACACGTTTTCTGTTGAACAAAAATCCCTGAAGAGTGGATTTGTAACCATTAATGTGTATTAGACTGGTACAGTTCCAAAGTCTCCACTTCATGATTTATCGCAATGCTCATGTAATACATATCGTATGGATTGTGTTTGATATTTCAAATTCAACATTTGATTTTTGTTTGTATGGTAAAACTTAAATCAATTGACGTTAAATGAAAGGATTCAGATTGTCGTTGATATGTAATTGATATATCTAATATCGGTTATATAACATGGATGAAATAACCACATCCCCCATCCCCATCCTGTGTACGCATAACTAGTATATGACAAAACAACCTGCTTTTCAACATTGGTTTTGTTAAGTTAATCGATTTTTGTTTTGTCAAATGTAGTTTATACTGTTTACCAGTTATTTGACCTAAGCCAAGAAAACAATGTTTCGACCAAACGTATGAAAGTATGAGTATGAAAGACAGATCTTTGTAAGCGTTTAAAGCAAACAAAGAATTGTAACTTGTTCCTACACTTCCAGCAATCAGTTGACAAAGTCATATCCGATGGAATTATTTTGCATAAAGAGATCCTTTTCATATGATGACAATAATTCAGGATAATTTCATTTTATTTCTTATCGAGAAAGAAAAGTGAAAGGTAGACAACAATTTGATTATGATTTTTGTTGTTGTTGACATATTTCACTTTAACAAACACATTTTCAGGGGTTTCCTATTTCTTCTTGTTTTGGAAATATTAAGCAACATATGCTGACCTGTGATTGAAATTTGTTCACTTATTTCTAAATGTATGTCCGAAAAGACTTCTTTTGTTACAATAACAAACAAAAGTCCAGAACTAAAAGTAACTGAGGACGGGCTACGGATATACTATATCGTATTTAGAAAAAAATAATATGAAGTCCGGAGACGCTTTAGAAAATCAGACTGTCGTCATTTTGTGTTTTTTTTATATCAAAGCGGTCTATATATACAGGAAATACCTTAATGATTCCGGCACAAATTTCTTTGTCCAAAGATAAAAAAAAAATGCCTTATAACTTTTTTAGGGTCTATTCTTACCTGGATTGCAATGGTCATCGTTCATGCAGTCTTCAATAAGTTTGGCTATATATCGCTCTATAGAAGCTCGTCCTGCCCTTTCCGCCATGTGGGTGTATACACAAGGAAATCCAACACATCCTCGTTTCTTGGGGACATTTGTTCCCCCGTCGTCTAGTAGCTCATTCCTGGAAAATATTAAATAATTTATTGATCATTTGGAAAATTTTACCAGACAAGGAGAGATTTAAAGAACAGGTACGACACAGGCATAACAACGGAAATAAGGAGACAAATGTATAAAAAGGAACGACGATGGCACAAAATAAAACAAGGTAAGATATAGATCAAAGGGTACGACTCGAAAAATAAGTAGGACAACAGGTAGGACACGGTCACAAAATAGAAACAAAGCGGCAAATGTATCAACAGGTAGGACACAGTCACTAAATAGAAACAAGGCGGCAAATGTATCAACAGGTAGGACACGGTCACAAAATAGAAACAAGGCGGCAAATGTATCAACAGGAAGGACACGGTCACAAAATAGAAACAAGGCGGCAAATGTATCAACAGGTAGGACGCAGTCACAAACTAGAAAAGAGACAAATGTATCAACAGGTAGGACGCAGTCACAAAAGAGAAACAAGGCGACAAATGTATCAACAGGTAGGACACAGTCACAAAATAGAAAAGAGACAAATGTATCAACAGGTAGGACGCAGTCACAAAATAGAAAAGAGACAAATGTATCAACAGGTAGGACGCAGTCACAAAAGAGAAACAAGGCGGCAAATGTATCAACAGGTAGGACACAGTCACAAAATAGAAAAGAGACAAATGTATCAACAGGTAGGACACAGTCACAAAAGAGAAACAAGGCGGCAAATGTATCAACAGGTAGGACACGGTCACAAAATAGAAACAAGGCGGCAAATGTATCAACAGGTAGGACACAGTCACAAAAGAGAAACAAGGCGGCAAATGTATCAACAGGTAGGACACAGTCACAAAATAGAAACAAGGCGGCAAATGTATCAACAGGAAGGACACGGTCACTAAATAGAAAAGAGACAAATGTATCAACAGGTAGGACGCAGTCACAAAATAGAAAAGAGACAAATGTATCAACAGGTAGGACGCAGTCACAAAATAGAAAAGAGACAAATGTATCAACAGGTAGGACGCAGTCACAAAAGAAAAACAAGGCGGCAAATGTATCAACAGGTAGGACGCAGTCACAAAATAGAAAAGAGACAAATGTATCAACAGGTAGGACGCAGTCACAAAATAGAAAAGAGACAAATGTATCAACAGGTAGGACGCAGTCACAAAATAGAAAAGAGACAAATGTATCAACAGGTAGGACGCAGTCACAAAATAGAAACAAGGCGGCAAATGTATCAACAGGTAGGACACGGTCACAAAATAGAAACAAGGCGGCAAATGTATCAACAGGTAGGACGCAGTCACAAAATAGAAAAGAGACAAATGTATCAACAGGTAGGACGCAGTCACAAAAGAGAAACAAGGCGGCAAATGTATCAACAGGTAGGACGCAGTCACAAAATAGAAACAAGGCGGCAAATGTATCAACAGGTAGGACACGGTCACAAAATAGAAACAAGGCGGCAAATGTATCAACAGGTAGGACACAGTCACAAAAGAGAAACAAGGCGGCAAATGTATCAACAGGTAGGACACGGTCACAAAATAGAAACAAGGCGGCAAATGTATCAACAGGTAGGACACAGTCACAAAAGAGAAACAAGGCGGCAAATGTATCAACAGGTAGGACGCAGTCACAAAATAGAAACAAGGCGGCAAATGTATCAACAGGTAGGACACGGTCACAAAATAGAAACAAGGCGAGGCGGCAAATGTATCAACAGGTAGGACACGGTCACAAAATAGAAACAAGGCGACAAATGTATCAACAGGTAGGACACGGTCACAAAATAGAAACAAGGCGGCAAATGTATCAACAGGTAGGACACGGTCACAAAATAGAAACAAGGCGGCAAATGTATCAACAGGTAGGACACAGTCACAAAAGAGAAACAAGGCGGCAAATGTATCAACAGGTAGGACGCAGTCACAAAATAGAAACAAGGCGGCAAATGTATCAACAGGTAGGACACGGTCACAAAATAGAAACAAGACGGCAAATGTATCAACAGGTAGGACGCAGTCACAAAATAGAAAAGAGACAAATGTATCAACAGGTAGGACGCAGTCACAAAATAGAAAAGAGACAAATGTATCAACAGGTAGGACGCAGTCACAAAAGAGAAACAAGGCGGCAAATGTATCAACAGGTAGGACACAGTCACAAAATAGAAAAGAGACAAATGTATCAACAGGTAGGACGCAGTCACAAAATAGAAAAGAGACAAATGTATCAACAGGTAGGACGCAGTCACAAAATAGAAAAGAGACAAATGTATCAACAGGTAGGACACAGTCACAAAAGAGAAACAAGGCGGCAAATGTATCAACAGGTAGGACGCGGTCACAAAATAGAAACAAGGCGGCAAATGTATCAACAGGTAGGACACGGTCACAAAATAGAAACAAGGCGGCAAATGTATCAACAGGTAGGACACAGTCACAAAAGAGAAACAAGGCGGCAAATGTATCAACAGGTAGGACACGGTCACAAAATAGAAACAAGGCGACAAATGTAGGTAGGACACGGTCACAAAATAGAAACAAGGCGACAAATGTAGGTAGGACGCGGTCACAAAATAGAAACAAGGCGACAAATGTATCAACAGGTAGGAGACGGTCACAAAATAGAAACAAGGCGGCAAATGTATCAACAGGTAGGACACGGTCACAAAATAGAAACAAGGCGGCAAATGTATCAACAGGTAGGACACGGTCACAAAATAGAAACAAGGCGACAAATGTAGGTAGGACACGGTCACAAAATAGAAACAAGGCGACAAATGTATCAACAGGTAGGACAAGGTCACAAAATAGAAACAAGGCGACAAATGTATCAACAGTTAGGACGTAGTCACAAAATAGAAACAAGGCGATAAATGTATCAACAGGTAGGACACGGTCACAAAATAGAAACAAGGCGACAAATGTATCAACAGGTAGGACAAGGTCACAAAATAGAAACAAGGCGACAAATGTATCAACAGTTAGGACGTAGTCACAAAATAGAAACAAGGCGATAAATGTATCAACAGTTAGGACGTAGTCACAAAATAGAAACAAGGCGATAAATGTATCAACAGGTAGGACACGGTCACAAAATAGAAACAAGGCGACAAATGTATCAACAGGTAGGACAAGGTCACAAAATAGAAACAAGGCGACAAATGTATCAACAGTTAGGACGTAGTCACAAAATAGAAACAAGGCGATAAATGTATCAACAGGTAGGACGCAGTCACAAAATAGAAACAAGGCGGCAAATGTATCAACAGTTAGGACGCAGTCACAAAATAGAAAAGAGGAGACAAATGTAGGTAGGACGCGGTCACAAAATAGAAACAAGGCGACAAATGTAGGTAGGACGCGGTCACAAGATATAAACAAGGAGTAGGACAACAGGAAACAAAGATACGTAGAAACGAGGTGGTTCATCACGATAGCAACCGGGAACGAGGAGCCACAGAGAATGCAGATTGTTGGTACCCGAAATAAACATCAATGAGAACATTTTCCTAATTCCTGGTACAGCCAGATTATCATAACAGCTGTAGTATACTAGATTTATCATACACTAGTTTTAAGTATACTTTAAGATACAGTCGAATCTCGAAGTTGGCAGAGCTTATTAAAACTTCGAGTTATCCGAGTACAAGATCTAAGCAAGTAGGAATATTCAGTGTGAAGGTTTGTCGGGACAGACGAAATATTTCGAATTAAACGAGGCTTTGAGTTATATGAAATCGAGATAACGTTCTACTGTAGTTTTATCTAGTTGTTTTTAAAAATAGTGTCTGTATACAATAAGCTGCTATCTAGGTTTGCACTATGATGACCTTAACGCACGTAAAATTCTTGTCAATACATACTATTATGATAAAACTTTCTATGTATGTTTATTTTTTGCAGGTAATTAATATAACCACGTATAGTTGATGGATATAATGGAATTATTGATGAGGATACAGATGTTGAAAATCAACCTTAGGTACAGTAGCGTTTTGTATAGATATATGTGCGTACATCTCGAAAGACATCGACCAAAACACATCAATATTAGATGTCTCTACAACCTATTAAGATGTTATCTACTGATTCACCACATCCTGTACACGAGTTTTTTTTAATCGTGATCATCATTAGGGATCATGAGGACGAAAAGTTGTTCACGCATTCTATATATAGAATCTATTCCTGGTGTTTCTTTTTCTGAAACGATTAATACCTACCCCTAATCAAGGATGGTAAAAAATGCACGCAAATCCTGTTATGATAAAATTAAGTTCTCTAAAGGCTGTTCAATGTGTACGTTGCCCCAAAAACAATGCAACGAGGAGAGACAAAAAGAAATAAAAACAAAACCAATTTGTCTTCAAAGACGATAGAAAATGGAAAGGAGTAATATCTATAATGTACATGTATATACTGTTTTGTATTATTATAATTAAAAAAGGGGAAAAAAGACATAAAAATGTGTTTATCCTAAGCTTGTATTAATTAAACTCTGGACTGTTACATCTCATTTGTTTTGATTTCGGCGTCACACAACCTTGATAAAAGAAAATAGTAAAACGATCAGAACAGTTTAATTATAACACCCTGCCTTATACACATTCTTGTTGTAGAATAAAGAAAATAAAATTAAGTCAGTTATTCAAAAAGAATTTGACCTTTATAACACTTAAGTACTTTAGAAAATTTGAAAGTGAGTCAATCGAAATGATGTCATGATTTCAAAAGAAGAACCGGGCTACAATATATAATTACAACAAATCAGCTCTTCGATAAATGTAGCCTTTCCATGAAAGTTCGACAAACATGTCACTAACATTTAGAAAACACTAGCCATCTCATTTATGTAATGATAAGATGTGAAATATTTTGTTAAGACGAGAAGACCTTGAATAAACTTATTTGCGTAAGTTTGTGTTACTTCTAGGACAGTGTTTGTATTGGGGTAGGTGTTTGGAAGAGGAGAGTGGGATTGGTTAGTGGTAAAACTGTGATTCTTTTCCCAGAC